TGGATTTTGTGGTCCTGTTAATAAACCATTAGAAAGTATATATGGTAATCTTCCTTATATAGCACCTGAAGTTATATATGAAAAAGGATATACTTTTGCATCAGATATTTATAGTATTGGTATGATTATGTGGGAGATTTCATCTGGACAACCACCTTTTACCAATTTTGATCATGATTATGATCTTGCAATAAAAATGGTAAATGGTATGCGACCAAAAATAGTATTAAAGACACCAATAGAATATAAAAATTTAATGAAACAATGTTGGGATCCTGATCCATTAAAAAGACCTAATATTAGTTTTCTTTATAATGAAATTAAAAAAATACAATATTTATATAATCAAAATCAAGATAAAGAAACTGGTATTATTTTAAATAATATACAATTAAATAGAAAATCTATTATTAGTTCTACTTCTAATAATCCATTAATTAAAAAATTAAGTAAATATTATACTTTTAAAGATTTACCTGAACCGAAAAATGCTTTTGAAGGTAAATTACTTATGATTAAATGAAATTAAATTTTTATCATAATTTATAAAAAAAGAAGCGGGTTATCAATTAATATTTTATTTTTATAAAAAAAAGCTTATGATAGTAAGCAAAATAGTCTTAAAATTCCAGATAGTAAGTAATATTAATTTATATGAAATTTATAAAGAAATTATCAATTGATTTAATTATCTTAAAAAAATTAAAGAAATATCTAAAGATTATACTGAAATGAACTCTTCTATAACAATTATCGGTAAGAATGAATATTTGTTAAATTTTGTTTTAAATTCAGTTTATATTTAAATATTATTTTATCAATGTTAACAGATATGAATATTGGGAAATCAAAAAGAAAATCTTTATATAATGATAATGGTAATGAATTATTTCATTATTTAATGATATAAACTATTTATAATATTCATGATATTTTATTTCTTTAACTAAAAAACTTAAAGATTAAGTTTACGATAACAAAATAAGAATTAGTAATAACATAGATATTTATTTGTAAATGATATATTTTAATGAATATAAATACTTTTTTTTTAGGAATTAATTACAAAAATAATGAAATTGAAACACATTGTATGCGAAAAAGTTATATTTTAAGCGATGGTAAGAAATAGATAAATTTAATTAATTTATTATTGAGCTATAATTTAATCATTTTAAATTCATTAGATGATGAAGAAACTTATAGTAATTCAAATCTTCATTCAGAAGATCAAGATGATTTAGAAATTCCTGAAGGTAAAACGTGATTAAATTAATAATCTTTATAACTAAGTAACTTACAATATTAAAATTATATTATTATCTATAAACTACAATATTATTTATGTTTAAATGCATAAAAATATTTTTTTATAAATAAATCTTTATTAAGTAAGAGTTTATTAACTAAGCATACAAGAGACAGAGTCATATGTGAAATGCTATATAACTGCCTTCTATTTCCTAGAACATTTTGAATCTCGACCAATTCTTTAAGTTGCCCCAAATTCAAATTCAAAACGTGTCTAACGAAATAATTTGAATGTTAAGAAACTATTGTTATATTCGTTCTTTCTTTATGTATTTATAAACAATTTGTATTGTAAGCAGAAGGTATTCATTGAATATAAATAAAGTAATATTGACGATAAATTTATTTAATATTATCAATTCGATCAGTGTTTCTCAACGTCGGCGCTCTACACTTCCGCCATGTTAAAATATTGAAATTAAGTAAAATGCTATCAATTAATTAGAGCTGCGCAATTACGTAATAAATTACTAATAAAATCGGAAATTAAAATAATATAATAAATAAACGAATATACGATATTTAAAAAGTTAAAACGGCAAAAGAGAAAATAAAGGGAAGATTTCAATTGAATGTAAGCAAGGAAATATAACAAGGGCGAACGTGGATAATATATTTTTTAAGGATTTCAGGTTTGTATATATATATATATAAAAAAAAAAATTAGAACGTTCTTGACATCCTGTCATACTGGCACCTTGACAACCTTGCGTTCTTAACATTTCGTCATACTGGCACTGGCAAATGATCTTCAAAAGACTAACTGCAATTATCAAAAGTGTTTCTCATGCGGAATTATGGAGATTTTCGGGCGAAATTACATTCAATGTAACAATATCGAAAACAATCTCATGCGAAATTATGGTGTTTTTCGGACGGAATTATCTTTAATGTAACTATTAACTCTGAATAACATATGAAGTATACACCGATAGATATTTAACACTTTCTATTTCCTTATTTTCACTTTCCCCTTTTTATCACTATTGTTGCAATCCTACAGATGAAGAAATAAAATTACTTCAACAACTTCAATAGTAAAGAAATACACATAGGTTTATTACATATAACGCAAGAAGTTAAATGGCGAGATTACAAAACATAATAGTTACACATCATTGCACAATAATTAAGTGAAGAGTCAGTAATTGAACATATATAAATAATATTTCAAATTTTACATTTTAAAATAACAAAATTTTCTAAATCAATGCGAAAAAAAAAGGAAATTTCAAATGTTTAATACGTGAATAATCCGAAGTTTCGAATCCAAATACAGTACATTTATCACTAATAGAATAGATAAATTGATAAACTAGAATTATATTATAAATTTAAATACATATTTGAATAAGTATATGTACTTCGAATTTTTTAATAAGAATATATTATTTCATTTATTATCAACCGGTGAGTAATTGACAAAAAATTCCATCGGTGTATACATAATACCGATGGGACAACATATTAGCACATGTAGCCATTCGAGTTAATTATTTGCAAAGATTATATGCAAGGTTCAAATTCTAAACCTTATAGTATGATGTTTCGTTTCCAGTAAAATCATTTAAGATACTTTCAATATTTCTTAAGGCTAGATAAACTTTAATTGATGCTTTGTTTGTAAATCTAACATAATTTTATCAGTCACATTATTCCACTCTCTTTCTTAATAACCCAAAGATATTCCATTAAAATCATTTCTCCAAAATTTCGGAACTTACAGACCATTTAATAATATGGGACCTTTGCAATAGAAAGGAGGGAAACAGCCGGAAAAAAATCAATTTTACTTTTATAAGCCAAATATGATTTTTAGGTCAAAATATGTTCAGATTTAGCATTAAATCAATTTTATTTTTTCTAGCCGTTTCCCCCCCTTTTCTATTGCAAAGTCCCATAAAATTGTGTTTTTCCAATCTATAATAAGGATCTACTGGATGTTTGAAAGTTAAGCATTGACGTAATTGAGTAAGCATGAATATGATTATAACCTAGTTTCGTCATCACGAAGTATGTATCCCGCAAGTGAATCAATAAATAAATCATTATTATAGTTTCATTTTTTATATAGCTTCATCTTGTTCATTATTTTATTGATTAAATTTATTATCAATGTTGTTCTTATGGTGAAACTCTGAAAATCTCTCCAATGAATTATAGTTCTTTGCTAAACGAGTCAGTGTAATGCAAATTTGTTCTAAACTTTCACCCAAACACATAAAATTAATTATAATTTAATCATGCTCGATGAACTCGAGGTAATAATTGATTATGTAGATATTCAGTAGTAACTTCAATGTGTACAAATTTTGTATTCGGTTAATATAAGTTTTGTTGCTATTACTAGATGTTCGTTATCGTGTTAAGCTGATCATTTAATTAATTACCTTTTATTAGGATTCGGTATGTATCTCTATATACCAGAACGTAAGTTTTGGTATGAGAAACGTAAAAATGTTATAATATATGAAAATATGAATTTAAGAATTGATAATCGCAGAGGTAAACTCAATTCTTAACATAATTAGCTTTACACATTATTTTTCGACAGATTAAAATTATATTTATTTATTTGCAGAGCATAATAGTCCAAAGGTATATCCAACGACCGATGTGAATTTAGCAATTTACTATTGCAGAGGTAAACACAATTTATTAATATTATACAAAATAACGCATTATTTGTCGATAGATTAAAAACCATATTCATTTACTCGTAGGTCGTAACCCAAATGATACAATAATTTTTACATATATTTTGGAATATTATTATTTATTTTATGCAGAATATGTTACTAATTTGCTAAAGACAGTTTCCGATGCATATACTTTATGCAAAATATTAAAATATGGTATGATTTCATTTTATAATTTGAATAGATTTCATTAAAAATTGAATTAAATTGATAAAGCTTATTTATAATATAGAAACATACATCAGTATTTTAAAAAATATGCTAATGATTAAATCCTCAAAACATCCAAATGATAGTCAAACTCTATTAGAGCTTTAAATCCAAATTAAAATCACCCGAGAATGACCCAAAACGATCTAGGTTTACCAAATATGAACGGATTACTGTGTGAACCAAACATATTCTATTGTTTATGTTTATGCCACGAAGGTATAAAACTAACCAAGATAAATCAAAATTAATTGAAATAATTTCATATGAAGATACAATTGATTTTCCAGTAATCGAATATATAATTAATAACCTTTGGTCGAATGAATATAATTATTTTTTCTTTCTTTTCCTTCGATTTTAATTTTTAGATTTTGTTTTTTGTTCATTAGTTTAGTGTTATTGGTAGTATTTCTGCCAAGGGACGTCAGAATGTTTTATTTTGATAATTGGTGTATTTTATTATTTAGCAATTTACCTATTTATTACTGAATTATTGCAACTAAATAATCATGTATATTTAATTGGTTTGATCTACTTTCAATTGCAATACCTGCGGCAGCAATGACAAAATTACTTATTTATACGTTTAAAGTTTCAAACAACTTTGGAAGTATTTAAGCAATGGACTCTCAATTAATTGTGGAAATATCTTTTCAATTTTTATTATTTGGACCGAAATTGTAAGTTTTCGAATAAACAGGATTATTTTTTATTCAACTTATTCTACTAATTATTTAACTTTTTAAAAAAAAATTTCAGACTTTATATTTCCGTTTAATTCCAAGTAATGCAAAATTAAGATTTTAAAGGAATCTTATATAAAATCATGTTAACATACTAATTTTTTTTTTTTTAAAAAAATAAAAAGAATTTTCATTTTACATTTATTGTTTTATGAGCATCTGCAAAAATCTTTCAATTTCTCATACTTTTTTAGCCACTATAATTTTTGGATTCGCACATACAATGTAAGATTATTTATTTATTTATTATTTATATTCTTATTCTTTTTTTTTGAACAAAAAAACTTAAGAATCCACATATTAAAACAAAAGATTCTACTATGAGTGAGTTGCTACAAATCCATCGAGAAACGAAATACTTGATGTTAAACTTAAATCCGATTTTGAACCTAATGATCCAAATGATAATCCATTTTCCTTTTTCCTACTTCATTAGTCGAAATAATAAATTGATAATTATTAATTCGTTGCAAACTTGATTCTTTTCTTTATAGTTATTTGAGTATGAGAGCAATTAAGTTTCATTAAAGAGTAGGTAAAGCTGGTAAAGGAATTAAATGAGTTTCATGGCAATAGAGCCTATTAAGGAGTTGGTGGTAGAGCAGTTAAGGACCACGCACATTTGTATTTTCGGTTTACGTCACCCGGTCGGGTCACCTTTTAAATTTTAACCAAAAAAACTTTTATGTGAAAAATTCATCACGTGACTTTGAGATATAATTTTATTAATACGTTTATGTATTTATATATACGATTTGAAATAAGGTTTCCTGGCAAAACCTGAGGTTACGACAGCTGGCAAAATCGAAACTAGTTTTGACGTCTTTCCAATTTTTTTTTTAAAGGCAAAATCGCGAAAGTTTCGACGGGTAAATATTTTGATAGGTGGCAAAATTTTTAATAGACGAAACTTAATGAAAACAATTGAAATATTTTTTTGATATATTATTATAAAAGCATAAATTTATAAATACTTTTCGAAAAAATAATTATTAAAGATATATCGTTATATTTATAAAAATGTAAAAAAAATGTAATCTAAATTAAAGTTCTTCATTAATTCCAACTATGTCACAAATTTTCCAACTATTATTTTCTTCATTTGAACCCATTGCAGTTTCAACTTCCTCTTCATCCATTAAACTTGTTTTTTTCATTATCACTTGAAAAATTATCATTATCATCATAAGGTAATTTTTCAAATCCTTCAACAAGTTTTTGTATTTCTAAATTTAAAATTTGTTTCATAAATAATATATATTATTTCCTAAAATCCTATTTTGAGTTGCTTTTCAACTCAAGAGAAAATACAAGATATTTATACAAAATAAAATACTATAAAAAAAAGATAATTATAATAACTCTACTAAATAAGATATAACTAACAAATATAACAAATCTATCTAATTTATTTACTAGGTCAAATATAACTACTTGACCGTATTCACATATCACGGCTTCAGAAGATAAATTTTATCTAAACCATTACAAACAAATAATTGAACATTTTTATAAATGCAATAATAACTTAATAAAAGATACTGTATGAAGTTGCCGCACACTAACCTAATCTAGTTAAAAATGTAGATCAATTCTTTATATTAAAGTTTAAAGAAATTTAAAAATTTCTTTGGTGGTTGATACAGGACGATCAGAAACCTATGAAAGTTTCTTAATTATTGAATTATTATCTTTGGCAACCAACCTACTGTTTTTATGATATACTGACCAGTTTTCCATTGCTTTTTCAGTAAAGTTGAGGATAGGCGCAGAAATTAGAACACGCACTAACTCAAATACAAATAAATTTGGTTGTTAGTTAGAAGAAAATACAGTTACCGAATGAATAGCAGAACCGGAATAAATGAATTAGTTCTACCTCCCGAATGAATATAAGAATCAGCTCCTCCTTATTATGAAGATTAATTTTCTGAATGAAGAGGATGATTTATTAGAGATGATGCATTAATATTTTAATTCTAATTTATTTTATTACATTAAATGTATTCAACAAATTCAACAGGTGCAGGGAAGGAAAATAAATTAATCGCATCTTATGAAATCACAGATGCCAATTTTCAAGATTTAAAAAAAAAAATAAAATTTTCAAGATTTTTTAAAATAAAATACCATTATTTACGTATTATTTAACATATTTATATTATCGATTGAAATAGTAAGAAAAATACATAATTTAAAATTATTGAAACGTAAAAAGTATATATTTACCTCTTATATGAAAAGTTTGAACATAAAAATTTATAGATTTGAAAAATTGAAAACTGAAAACGCACGGGTTTTTTTCCAAATGAAATTTAAGCTATTCTAAGAGAAATCAGATATTTTTGGATGATGTTATTTAAAAAAACTTCAAAGATTGCTCATACCAGTAAAATCAACATCATGAAGGAGGATGTATCAAAGGATATATTACTCTATATTCTCAGATGATCAAAATCGTAGTTGGGAGAAGCAAAAAATTCTAAAAACAAAGCGAGCATTAATTCATCTGAATTCATTATAACAAGTAGAAAAATGCAAATGTATCATGATGGTAGTCAAATCAAAGAAAAAATATTTGTTCTTCAAGAAGGGTTGATCAATAATAGTATTTATGTTTCATTTAAATCAATTTCGAATAAATCTACCTCTTCATAATTATTTGCAAATTCAGAAAAATAGTATTAATTAAGATGGCCTGAAGTGCAACCAACGATCTGCAACCATCGCATACATCCTAAAATATGAATAAGACAATGGGAAGGAAAATAAAATATTTGATGTTTACGAACCAAAATGGTTAGATTAAAATGCATTAAGTTCTTAATTTTAGTCAAAATTTCTCGGAACCTGATTTTCCTAGAAATCCTCCCATATGGGCTTACTTGTTGGATTTTATTTGAGGAGGTATTTATTTGGTATTATATTCTGTGTAAAAAAAAATTAATGAAAAATAAAAAAAAACTCTACCTATAAGTTAAATAATCCAACTGAAAGAAATCGCCTAAAAAAATCGTCTAAAAAAAAGAGAAAAGTTAAATTAAATTAAAAATTAAAAAACAAATTAATGATAAATAAAAACCTAATTGTAGAAGAACCTTCGATTTTGAAACTTACTTTAGGAAACATTTCATAAATCATTCTATCTTTCTTAAACAAAGCTTTCTATTCATTCAGATAAAGTTTAATTTGTAACAAATAGTACGTTCGATTCGCAAGCCTTTTAAAATTAATGTAAACTCCGATATGTAATGACTTTTTATTATTTTGATTTATATACATTTAAACCGCCGACCCTTCCAAAAATTACTCTATTAGAAAATTCTGAGAATTTCTTCGATTAAAAAATAAACAGCTTGATTTATTACTGCACACCTAACTAAACAACAATTCCATAAATAATGCCGAATCAATATCATACATTGATAAACAGAAAGCTCGTCCATATTTATTTAATCGAGATCGTAGAGGTATATATATATGAATAAAAAGGATAAGTTAAAATATAACAAGTCATAAATAATTGAAATTATGATAGCCTCCACCGCCAGTATTGGATAACATTATAAGTGTTCGTGGCAAGATTTATCGACGCAATGATGAATTTTATTTGGTGCGTTATATTAAAAAAAGAGAAAATATTTTTTGTTTTTAGTTAATTATAAGTTAACAAGCATTCCCAATATGATCTATTATTCGTTTTTTTTTTTTCTATTTTTTTGGAGATCAATGCAATATGCATCGACAAAAAGATTATTGATGATTAGATCAAATTATTTGTTCTTAAAAATGAGATGTCCTTTGCAGATTTCAAATTATTTCCTTTCTTTATTTTTTATTAATTTATAATGTAGATTGAAGAAATGGCAAGATAATCTGAAGAGTATTGACAGAGATATAAGCTCGATGATTATAATTTAAAATTAGTGAAGAAAAGCGAACAGGCCTTTAATTTGGAAAGACAACTTGATAAATCACAAATAAACGAAGGGTTTTGATTTCTAGAAAATGCATAATATGATAATTTATTAATTCAATTTCTTTAGTCGTTAAAAGTTATTTAAGAGCGAGCTACCATTAGAGATTTACCAAAATCGAAAATATCGAATTGTCAACTCGAAAGAGGAAAATACAAAATGATAAATCTAAAGCGCGCCGCGACCCGATCAAACAGTAATTAAAAAATTAAAAAAAAATTAGAAATACATGAAAAAACAATTTAAAAGTAAACTTTTAATATTAAAAATTACAAAATTCATAAATATGATCCCTTAGGTATATATTATCACTTGATTTATTTCAGGTTTAAGTCAAATGACTACGACAATTAGAAAATGAAACTAAGGAAACACCTACCGTGTACTTCCGAATAGAGCGAATCACCTGAACAGTAGTAAAAAAATAAGACAATTACATAAAATAACATCAGATTTTTCGAAAATCGAAAATAAAATTTTTTAATGAGTGAAATCTAGGAAATCTTGATGCGGGACTGCGTTTTCCATAAAGAGCTATTTGAATATTTACTGTATTTAATTAAAAACAAATTCGAAAGGGTAGAATAACGTTCTAAAAGAACTTATTCAATAAGCTTTCTTCTTATTTATATCTTATCTTAAACAATATTGTACAGAACTTGGGCCAAATCACTTGAAAAGGTATTTAAATTACGAGACTCGACTTTCTTTCTGAAAGGCCTTAATTTTAATTATAAAACGAGATGACTTACAAATGACATTTGGAACACATATTAAATGGAGAGATCTATAACCTAATTAGATTTTTTAGTTTATATTCTGAGATATCATCAAAAAAGTTCGTCGATATAAAAGAATTTTGAATCAATAATTATATGAAGATTTATTAAGTTTTTATTTTTATCAAGAAAATGATGGTTTTTACTTCCTAGATGTAAGAATTCTGGTGGAATTATTGATGTAAAGATCGTAAATTTAACTAAGTAGATGTTTACAAGAAAATTATATTTATCGCATTTAATTTACTCCAACAAAGTTTGTGATATAAATCTTAAATCTGGAAAAACCCTTCGGATGAGTATGAATATGGATATATTATATGGGTTGATTGTTAGGAAAATCAGGTTCCAGGAATTTTATAGCAAAATTGAGATTTTTATTGCATTTTAGTTTTTGATGTTATTAGATTAAAATGTATTAAGCTCTTAATTTTAGTCAAAAATTTCTCGGAACCTGATTTTCCTAGAAACCCTCCCATATTTCTTTTAAGGATATGGATATTTCACAATGCATCTTAAGCAATGTAAGGTAGCTTCGTTCAGAAAATAATGATGTTAACATTGTCAGACTTGTGAGTGAAATAAATTACAATTATTATTTTTGACCTTAAAGAACTCATATTAGCTTATGAAAGTAATTTTAGGCACCACCATTTTACCCAAGAGACATGTACATATATAACAAAACAATATTATCAGAAGAAGTTTCGAAAAATTTTTTATTTATTTAACATTGATGAGCAAAATCATATAACATCGTTCAGCAAAATAGGATCATGCTGACTGAGCTTCATATAAAATATTTTAAGCATAAGAATTAAGTAATTTCATATTTACATTATTAATTTTAAAATAGAATTTCTAATGAATTATTAATTGTCAAAATTTTGGGAAGTTTATGGTATTTGTTTAAATTGGATTCAACTTAATGAATGTTTAGAAGAAACTTGTATGTTTTGCAATTTCAACGCGTAAATTACAAATACAATAATGAATCTGTTGTAGCCAAAATGCGTTAATGTCCGAATGTGCATTGGGATCCTAAATCAGAATGCACGTTTGGGATATCTCAAATACGAAGTATGCATTCTCAAATGCACACTTCGGATAATCCCAGATTTAACTTGAGTTCATTAGATTGCAATCTTTAATTTTATTCGTTTCAAATAAATTAAATGGTAAATTTATTTATAAGCTTAGGTTGTAAAAAAAAAAAAATAAACAAATTTATACACCAGTGGATTGTTGCAATCCTAAAATGTACATTAAAATATTTTCCATTCTTTTCGTGCAAAAAATAGGACCCCGGAAATTCTAATATAGGTCAGTTACCATCAAAATTTTTATTAATGGCTCTAAGCACTTGTTTTACTATAATCGCTAAGCATCTGTAAATGCTAACCTTAAAATTCTTATGAAAATAAGCAAGTTAAACTTACTTTTATTTTTTTATTTTTGAAAATAAGAAACAAGAATATATTGTATTTCATTAACCTTACCTTACTTTATCTTTCAATAATATCTTCTCTTCCAAAGTATTCAAAATATTTTTATTCATTGCCTACTAATTTCAAAATATTCCCTTTTATTGAAACGCCAGATGGTAAAATATGATAATAAATGTTGGATGTTAAATGATGTGTTAAAATATTACAACCCTCCCGAACTACATCACTAAAAAGATCAAGGTGAATGGGAATATATATATGCAATGAAATATACAAAATATCATCTAAATTGATTATTGGTTCTTCTGTAAAACAATGGTTTGAATAGGCTTCAAAATATACAGCTAAAATCTGACCAATGCATATTTGACTCCCATATTTAACAAATACATAATTTCCTTTAACTAATGGAATATCTCTTGAAATATTGGCAGGCATTTTCTATATCCGGAACTAATTTATAACAAAATAAAATTGTATAGGTTATTTTTCTAAATTAATTAAATTAATAAAAAAACACAAATAATTTAATAACTTACTTTCAATCAAAAAATTTTTGGTATCTTTTTTTGACTGATTTTTTCTTTGTTTTCAACTTTTCCAAATCTTCAAAATGCAATCGAGCAAGAGTAATGAAACATTCTTCCGATTTTTCTTCCACCGTTTTTCCCTTTGAGTCACAAAGCGTTGACCAGGGTTTTTATTTTTTGAAAAGAATGAAATAAAATGATTAGCCTTTTCTGGGGGGAGAGCGAGAGAGAGAGAGAGAGAGAGCGAAGCCCTCTGACCAAACTGAAATTTGTTCCTATTATTGTATGATATTTAGTTAAAATTTTATGGCCTATTATCGCAAGCGATTAAGCCGCAAACATCTATTTATAATTTTAAAAGTTAAAAAAGTTTCGGATCCTTTTAAAATTTTTAATTTTAAAACATATAATTACTAAAGTTTTATTGGGAAGTTGTGTTTGGGAGTATTCGTATTCCCAGAAAAAATTTTCTTTTTAGTAATTTTTTTTTTTAAAAAATAAAAAAAAAAGAAGCTTTTGATACAAGGATAGGATGAATTTTTTATTAGAAATTTATAAATTAAATAATAAAATTTTATGTTAATTAATACAAAAGTAACTTCTTTTTGATACATTTTACAAATATTTAATAAAGTGAATTTTTATTAAGATCTATTTTTTTATCGAACTTTTTCAAAAATTGGATTCATGTAAATTTTGATCAGCATTATGCATGCAAAATCAGAACCAAAGAAATCTGTTATTTTCATAAAATAGTTAAACGAAAATATTAAAAACTAAAATATATTACTACTGTCTGTTAAAGGATTTTACCATCATTCTTTTGTTAGCCACGGTCTTTTTATTGGAATGAATTTATCGATGATGTTGAATAATATTTTATCAACTTGTTTGTTATTAGTAAATAACTTGGATTCATTTTATTTTTTCTGTCTGTTCAATTTTTTTAAGAGAAAAATTTTCAGGTTTGGTTACTTTGGATGACTCATTGAAGATTGGGACATAATTTAAGGTTTGGTCATCTGTTTACGGTACATTGGCGATCCATCCAGAAAGAAAATTACCTTAAAAATAATTTATAAAATGAAAAGAAATCGCAAAAAAAGGTAGTCAAAAAAAGAAAATTTACCTATGCGACCGTTGCGATCCAGCCCGAAAGATCTAAAAAAAAAATTGATTTAACGTGTTAGTCACAAATCATACTGCGCCTCAAATGATCGCACGCTGCAGCAAATATCATAAAAGTAATACATGTATCGTTTAATCTACTTTATAATACATGATCGAATATTTACCTTTCATTATATTATATAGTCCTCGTAGTATATAGTAATAGATAGCAATTTTATATAAATAGACCTATAAGTTGACCTTGAGACAGAGTTCGATCAGATAGTTTTTCTGAGTAAGTCTTGGGAACTAGACTTATAACTCTACAGATTAATAAAGTTACTATTTTTACACTTTCAACTAGTGCTCCGTACGGGTCGGGTTAGGTCTGGTTTGAGGGGATGTTCGAACTCGACTCGAATATTCATGTAACCCGACTCGAATTTTCGGGT